CTGGCCACCGCTTCCTGCCACCCGCATTGGCCTGGAGCGGTGAACCGCGGCCAGTGGGAGCCGCGATCGGCCGAACCTGCAGACGCGGCAGGTAAACAAACCGGTCCGCCCCGCCAGAGTGCTTACCCTGGTGGGCCGCGTGCCAAAGGTTGACGATCCCTGTATTAGATATTCAATTCAATGATTCCATAGAGTTTAAAATCATCAAATTTTGGTGTAGACCCGTTTATAAGCTGACCCTCACTCTTTGATGCGTCACTTTTTTACCAAAAATATTCGGCTTATGAACAAGTATATATGGTAATGATTGTTTAACAGCATGATTAATCACAATAGAATACCATTTATTTAAATATTTTTGGATGTTTTCTAAATTTTCAAATATATTGATTTCAATTACAACACAATACAGTGCTCACTTTTTATTACAAATATTTGCACTGTAAAAAACAAAAGAAATTATATTTTTCATTTCACCTAGTACACGTACTGTAGTGCAAACTCTTTATCATGAAAGTTGAGCTTACAAATGTAGAATTATGTACAAAAAAACCTGCATTCAAAAATAAAACAATTTAAAACTTTAGAGCCTACCAGTCCACTCAGTCCTACTTCTTTTACAGCCAATCGCTCAGACAAACAAGTTTGTTTACATTTGCAGGAGATAATGCTTCCCGCTTCTTGTTTACAATGTCACCTGAAAGTGAGGACAGGTGTTCGCATGACTCTGCTGTAGCTGGCATCACAAGGTATTTACGTGCCAGATGCGCTAAAGATTCATATGTCCCTTCATGCTTCAACCACCATTCCTCAGGACATGTGTCCATGCTGATGACAGGTTCTGCTCGATAACGATCCAAAGCAGTGTGGACTGACACATTCACTTTCATCATCTGAGTCTGGAGCCACCAGCAGAAGGTTGGTTTTCTTTTTTGGTGGTTCAGGTTCTGTAATTTCGGCATCGGAGTGTTGCTCTTTTAAGACTTCTGAAAGCATGCTCCATACCTCGTCCCTTTCAGATTTTGGAAGGCACTTCAGATTCTTAAACCTTGGGTGAGTGCTGTAGCTATCTTTAGAAATCTCACATTGGTATCTTCTTTGTGTTTTGTCAAATCTGCAGTGAAAGTGTTCTTAAAACGAACATGTGCTGGGTCATCATCCAAGACTGCTGTAACATGAAATATATGGCAGAATATGGGTAAAACAGAGCAGAAGACATACAATTCTCCCCAAAGGAGTTCAGTCACAAATTTAATTAATACATTATTTTTTTAATGAGCTTCACCAGCATGGAAGCATGTCCTCTGGAATGGTGTCCAAAGCATGAACGGGCATACAAATGTTTAGCATATCTGGCACGTAAATACCTTGCAATGACGGTTATAAAAGTGCCATGCGAATGCCTTTTCTCACTTTCAGGTGACATTATAAATAAGAAGTGAGCAGCATTATCTCCCATACATGTACACAAACTCGTTTGTCTTAGCAATCGGCTGAACAAGAAGTAGGACCGTGTGGACTTGTAGACACTAAAGTTTTACATTGTTTTGTTTTTGAGTGAAGTTATGTAACAAAAATTCTACATTTGTAAGCTGCATTTTCATGATAAAGAGATCGCGCTACAGTACTTGTATAAGGTGAATTGAAAAATGCTATTTCTTTTATCATTTTTACAGTGCATATATTTAACAAAAAATAATATAAAGTGAGCACTGTACACTTTGTATTCTGTGTTGTAATTGTTGTAAATCAATCTATTTGAAAATGTAGAAAAACATCCAAAATATTTAATAAATTTCAATTGGTATTTCTATTTCTAAACAATTTCTATTGTTTAACAGTGCGATTAAAACTGCAATTAATCACGATTAATATTTTTAATCGCATGAGTTAACTGCAATTAATTGACAACCCTAGAAAAAAAATAACATCTTAAAATTCTGAGTTATCAACTAAACTTCATCCGAGTATTATGCCAGTTGAAACAATGACTTGAAAAATTAGCTAGATCATACAATTTAATGCAAATAAATAGATACTGTATTTAAAAGCTGAGAGATCATATTTTCACTTTTTTTATACACTAAACAGGTTTATAAAAAATAAGAATGGTCTCAAACCTCCATCCATCTCACCCAAGTCCCAAGTTTTCTCAAGGTTTGGAAAAAAGTTAATAAAATCTCACTTTAGGTTGTGGAATTTCTATCACTGGAGGTTTTTAAGAGCAGGTTAGATAAACATCTGTTAGAGAAGGTCTGGATAATACTTAGTCCTGCCTCAGTGCAGAGGGCTGGACTAGATAATATATCGATGCCCCTTCCAGTGCTACATTTCTATCATCTAAACTTTGCCTTTAATTAAAATTGTTTGTCTGCAACTCTACCCATAAGAATTAAGAACCACTACAGAGGTCATGAGACTGTAAATCAGCAGTAACGTGAGAGAGACAAGGCCAGATTTATAGATTATAAGGCCAGAAGGAACCATTCTGATCATCTACGTCTGACCTCCGGCATAACACAGGCTATAGGTCTTCCCGTAATTCTTGTTTGAATTAGAATATATATTCCTTAGAAAAACATCCACATCCAATCTTGATTTTAAAATTTCCAGTGATTGAGAATCCATAGAACCTTTGTAAATTGTTCCACTGTTTTATGACCCTCACTGTTAAAAATTTGCCTAATTTCTAGTCTGATTTAGTCTAGTGTCATCTTCCAGCCTTTGGATCTTATTATACCTTTGTCTGCTAGATTGAAGAGCCCTCTTATCTACATGGGGAACAGAAATTTAACTGAGCAAGTTAACCTCCTCTTTGTTAAGCTAAACAGACTGAGCTCCTTAATTCTCTCTCTGTTAGGCATGTTTTCAATTTTTTTTCTCTGAAGCACTCCCCAATTTATCAACATCCTTCCAGTGTAGACCAGAACTGGACTCAGTATTCTAGGAGAGGTCACAGAAGTGCCAAATATAGAGGAAATATAACCTCCCAACTCCTATTCAATTGTCTCCTATTAATACATCCAAGTATTGCATTACTGCTTTTGGCCACAGTCTCTCACAGGGAGCTCATTTTCAGTTGATTATCCAGCAGCTACTAAAGTTAGACATTTTTAAATTAGCAGTTCTGGATAACTTGCTATCAAGAGTCTTAAAAGAGCTGATTGAGCTTGCTGGACCATTAATGTTGATTTTCAGTAACTCTTGGTACACCAAAGAAGTTCCAGAAGACTGGAAGAAAGGTACTGTTGTACCAATATTTTAAAAGAGTGAATGGGCCAATCAAGCTAATTATAGTCCTATCAGACTGACACTGCTCACAAGCAAGATAATGAAGCAGCTGATACAGGACTCAAAAAAAAAATTAAAGGAGGGTAATATAATAAATGCCAATCAACGTGGATTTATGGAAAATAGATCCTGTCAAATTAACTTGATTTTTTTTATGAGATGACAAATTTAGTTGATAAAGGTACCAGTGTTGATGTAATATACTTAGACTTCTGTAAGGCATGTGACTTGGTACCACACATAATTTTGCTTAAAAAGCTAGAATAATATAAAATTATCATGGCACACATTAAATGGATTAAAAGCTGTCTAACTGATAGGTCTCAAAATGTAATAATAAATGAGGAATCACCATTGAGCAGGTGTGTTTCTAATGGGGTCCTGCAGGGATCAGTTTTTGGCCCTATGCTATTTAACATTTTTATCAATGATCAGGATGAAAACATAAAATCACTGAAAGTTTTCAGATGGCACAAATATTGGGGGAAATGATAAATAATTAAGAGGACAGGTCTCTGATACAGAGTGATCTGAACCACTTGGTAAGTGGAGTGCAGGCAAACTATGTGTTTTAATATGGCCAAATAAGAAGTCATACATCTAGGAACAAAGAATATAGGCCATACTTAGAAAATGAAGGACTCTTTCCTGGGAAGCAGTTACTTTTTAAAAGATTTGGAGGTCATGGTGCATCAGCTGAACATGAGTTCCCAGAGTGATGCTGTAGCAAAAAGAGCTATTGCAATCCTTGGATGTATTGCCAGGGGAATATCGAGTAGGAGTAGGGAGGTTACATTACTTCTATATTTGGCACTGGTGCAACTGCTATTGAAATACTGAATTCTGGTCTTCACAATTCAAAAAAAAGATGTTGATAAATTGGATAGAGTTCAGAGAAGAGCCATTAGAATGATTAAAGGATATAAAACCTGCTTTATAGTGATAGACTCGAAGATTTCAGTTTCTTTAGCTTAACAGAGAGAAGGGTAAGAGGTGACTTGATCATAGTCTACAAGTACCTACATGGGGAAGAAATATTTGATAATGGGCTCTTCAAGTTAAAACAAGTTAAAAATCACTTAGAAAAGTTAGATGCCTGCAAGTCACCAGGGCCTGATGAAATGCATCCTAGAATACTCAAGGAGCTAATAGAGGAGGTATCTGAGCCTCTAGCTATTATCTTTGGAAAATCATGGGAGACGGGAGAGATTCCAGAAGACTGGAAAAGGGCAAATATAGTGCCCATCTATAAAAAGGGAAATAAAAACAACCCAGGAAACTACAGACCAGTTAGTTTAACTTCTGTGCCAGGGAAGATAATGGAGCAAGTAATTAAGGAAATCATCTGCAAACACTTGGAAGGTGGTAAGGTGATAGGGAACAGCCAGCATGGATTTGTAAAGAACAAATCATGTCAAACCAATCCGATAGCTTTCTTCGATCGGATAACGAGTCTTGTGGATAAGGGAGAAGCTGTGGATGTGGTATACCTAGACTTTAGTAAGGCATTTGATACTGTCTCGCATGATATTCAACAGTGTGATGCTGTTGCAAAAAAAGCAAACATGATTCTGGGATGTATTAACAGGTGTGTTGTGAGCAAGACACGAGAAGTCATTCTTCCGCTCTACTCTGCTCTGGTTAGGCCTCAGCTGGAGTATTGTGTCCAGTTCTGGGCACCGCATTTCAAGAAAGATGTAGAGAAATTGGAAAAGGTCCAGAGAAGAGCAACAAGAATGATTAAAGGTCTTGAGAACATGACCTATGAAGGAAGGCTGAAAGAATTGGGTTTGTTTAGTTTGGAAAAGAGAAGACTGAGAGGGGACATGATAGCAGTTTTCAGGTATCTAAAAGGGTGTCATAAGGAGGAGGGAGAAAACTTGTTCACCTTAGCCTCTAAGGATAGAACAAGAAGCAATGGGCTTAAACTGCAGCAAGGAAGGTCTAGGTTGGACATTAGGAAAAAGTTCCTAACTGTCAGGGTGGTTAAACACTGGAATAAATTGCCTAGGGAGGTTGTAGAATCTCCATCTCTGGAGATATTTAAGAGTAGGTTAGATAAATGTCTATCAGGGATGGTCTAGACAGTATTTGGTCCTGCCATGCGGGCAGGGGACTGGACTCGATGACCTCTCGAGGTCCCTTTCAGTCCTAGAATCTATGAATCTATGAATCCAGCAGACAAAGGTATAACAAGATCCAGTGGTTTGAAGTTGAAGCTAGACAAATTCAAGACTAGAAATAAGGTGTAAATTTTTAACACTGAGGGTACTTAACCACTGGAACAACTTACTAGAGGTTCTGGTGGATTCTCCATCACCTGCAATTTTTAAATCAAAACTGGATTAAAAAAAGGGTCTAGTTGAAAGAGGAATTTTTGAGGGGGAAGTTCTATGGTCTGTGTTATACAGGAGATACAGTGATCACAATGGTCCCTTCTGGCCTTGGAATCTATAAAACTGACTTCAATATCTTGTAACAGGGCTTCTTCTCCGCCTCGGTGGGTCCCGCACTTCCTTCTAGTGGTGGGTCAGGATAGCATCTCATCTCTCAGAATTCCCCCCCGACTCTGTTTATAGTGGATGGGGAAATTCTGTCTCCAAGCGGCCCTCCCATTTCTGGGCCTGCTAGGCACTTACTGCTTCACTGGGGCTTCTGGCCTCCTCGGTGGACATCCAGTGAGAGAAAAAGGGGCGTGGGGGTCCCAGTCCTGCCCTCTACTCTGGGCCCCAATGCAGGGACCCTACAAGTAGCAGCCTCACGCTGCCAGTTCCCAGGAAAGCTGCTAGCTTCCCTGGGTTACTTCCTCACGCCCCTTGGCTTATTGTCCCCACTTTGCTTGGGCAGGATTCCTCCTGCCGGGGAGAGCCCCATGTC